TGGTCATGAACAACCTGAGATGGAGGCAGGGAATATATCAGTATCCTTGGTTTTTTCTTTTCCCCTGGTAGTTAGACTGATTTCTCAGTGTTGGGTTTTTTGCAGTTTTCCTTTTTTTTTTTTTTTTTTTTTTTTGGTATTATTTTTTATTTTGCACTACAGCATAGAGACCCAAATGACAAAAAGAGAAATAACGGCATGGAGAATTTTACTGTTACTCAGATCAGATAATTTGATGCTAGCATTCTGCACTGCAAACAAGGTTCTGAAAAAAAAAATATAAAATAAAACAAAACACAATTGCACACTATCCTGTAGCAAAGTATCTACCATGCAAAATACATGCTATATTTTTTATGACAGCCAAACAAATAGTGTGTACAAGTACTGTTTCCTTTGCTTTCATATTTATTTAGCAAATCTAGAACATTTGAAAGGTATAAATATATATATATATATGGATATCTATGTAGAACATAGCTAAATAAATATATATGAACTGGTCAATGTGCAACTCGGTATACACATCCTAGCTGTTTGGTTTGAGCATTGTCCTCAGCTGTACAGGAGACAGGTAGACATGGCCTCCCTTATCAGCCACGATTGCTCCCACAGCTCTGGGGTCCCAGCCCTGCACCCTCTGCCCACCAAGCCCCCCTCTGCCTTCCAAGGTGAGCAACAGCAATGGGTGCTGCTGGAAGCCAAGGTACACTTCCAAACGGGAAGGTGGTTTAGGCAGAGGAGCTCTTACTGTAGCCCGAGCAAAAAGAGATGGGTGGTAGCTTGCCTGGGGACATTCGCCATAGGGCAGCAGATCTAGCACAGTGCCACTCGGATGAGGCTGCTGCTGGCAGCCCTGAGGGTTTTCCCTATCAAATGCTGACTGTTATTTAAACCTCTCCTTGATACAAAACATACCAGGTCGATAGCACCCCAACTGCCAGAGGAGTCACTTCTCGGCAGGAACTGGGAATGGTGGAGACGGACTCGCTGTGGATTTCTCCGGGCATTTGTCACCTGCCATTATTTGTCTAAGGAAACATGTTTGACAATTTCTAGTCTTTCCTTAGATCTCGTGATGGACTTTAGCCTTTTAATAAATGTTATTATATCAGATCGTGTCCTTGACAGTATTTTACTTGTATGAACCATGATAAAACATTAAAATCTTCATACTCTTCAGGCAGAAGTGTCAATAAACAAGAAAGAGAAGCATAGCATACAATATATGTCAAAGTAATGTTCCTTTTAAGCTTTCTCATCAACAGTAAAAACGTTTACAATGTATGCCACGATCTTCAGTTTCTGTCTAACACCAGTTAGAGGTTCTGATCTTACAGAAATTGTGTTATAATGGCCTCAGCCTCGTTGCTAGGAAACAATAGATCCCAATTTTTTTATTCCTGCTCTAACTCCTGTGCTGAATAGTGACTGGATACTGTACAGGTCTATGTTATATGGCTGCAGTTAAATGGTCTGATGCATTTTGCTCTGGGTTTCAGACCAGAAGCATGCATTTTCTACAAGAACATCCCAGCAACACGCTGTAAATACTAAAAGTTAATATATTATGTGTCGATATTTGAAAAAGAAAGTACTTTGACTATTTCATTTTTTAAAAATAAAGGTGCAAACTGATGGCGTGTGACCTTGTCTTTGTTTACACCATGTATTTGGGATATTCTGGTCATGTCAGTGAAAGTTGTTTCCATTCATCTAAATAACAGCTTCACCTAATATTGGTTGATTCAAAAGCTGGGGGGCAAGGGGTTGCTAGCAAGATTTAATTTTACTTCTGATTCACCAAAGTTCATGGATATAACTCTGCAGTTTTCACAGTTTCTGTGCACAGGTTATTACATTTCATCAGAATAAAGGGGAGAGAGAAAAAAATCTGCTAAATGCCTTTGCACTTGCAAGAACTGAGTGGGTGAAGTCAGTAGTGGTGGTAGGGGATGAGGAGCAAAGTTTAAGTACTTACATGTTCTGTAGAGCTGCCTCAAATAGATGATGATGAATGATGGTGCATCAAAAGGGTGCACGTGAGGAAAAAGAAAATTCCCAGCATATGCAGCAGAGAGGAGGAGACAGTGAACCAGAGGGGCAGGACGAGTGTTTAAGGCTAAAGGAGAGGTTATGTGGTAAAAAACAGGTTGGAGCAGCAGGGCTTTGTAATAAGAATGTGAGGGTGGATGCTGGAAGAGCTGTGTTGCATGGATAAGAAGGAAGCAAGGCCAAAGGGGTGCTCTCATAGAAAAGGGAAGAAGGTATTGATTCCTGGGAGAAGGTATTGATTCAGTGCTGCGGGCGGTGTGTCATGCCTGGAGTTGGGGAGTAGAGAAGGGCTTAGTGGAGGGAAAAACAGAGCTGTGGCAGGATTAGTCACTGCAGAGGAGCAGCACTGCCTTTGCTGGGGAGAAGGCAGAGCAGGGAGAGCCAGGGCAGGGACACAGGGTCCCTGCAGGGAGCTGCACAATCCACTGTCAGAGCCAGGGCTGCAGCACCCAGCAGAAGGGGCGCAGGACGGTTAGGGTGGGACAGGGCAGAGTAGTGTAGCAGCGAGGGGCTGCATCCCGCTGTGGCTGCAGGGGTGGAGGGAAGGAAGAAACAGGTAACATAGACATTACCCGCTAAGTGATGCCCAGAGAATGAGGCTGCTGCTCCCTAAAAGCATCTGTAGCTCTTCACACCTAAGTCAATGCACGAAATCTATATCATTTCCATATTACTCTTCCTATAACCAAGCATCAGCTCCTCGTCCCACAGGTACCTTGAGCCTTTTTCCTGTTTCCACCTTGTTTAAGGTGGAATTTACCTTATTTAAGGTGAAATCTACAGCAATTCCAGACCCTTGGGTACCCAAAAGAAACAACACCAACAAGCCTCTGTCTTAATAATTTACATTAGAAACTGAAACAACATTCTCAGCTTTAAACAGAAATGGCATCTTTCAGCCTGTTTTATGTATCTTTTAGAAGAACAATGCACTTCTGGAGTCACCCATAGGCAAAGCAGTTCTCTTCAGCTCACTGCACTGCAGAGCGGATGAGCAAGGAAACAGCCCTTGGGCAAAGTGCTTCCGGCTACATTTATCCCCACCACAGTGAAATCACTTGCCAGGGACCATTTCCAAGCACGTTCTTCCTTGCTCCCAGAAGAGGCCAAGTAAACCAGGAGTCTAGACCCAGCACTTAGCAAGCAAAAGGGGTCTCCTGAAAAGCCTGAGGGCACACAAACTCTGCCAGCACCCAACGTGTCAGCTGGCTTTAGGGAAGGATGCTTTGCAGGAGCACAAAGCTGGAGAGGAACAGACAGGGACCAGTCACTGCAGATCTGCCACTGCATGAAGGTAAGAAAGACCCTTGTTTCAGCCAACTAGCATATGTAACATGGGGGCACAGAGCAACACATGCACATACAGTGTGTGACCGGTCGGGGGGGGGACACAGAACATTTCACCATAAATGATAGTTAGAAACTGAGCAATGAGCTGAAATTGTCTCAACTTTGCAACATTATTGCCTGCCAGTCCCTGTTACAATGGAGCTGTTTATTTACTGCCTTTATTCCCACTGCTGGTTTACAAGGAACTTGCTGTGCTTCACAGAAAATGTTTTATTGCTTGCACTGTCTCTCTCTTACACACACACACACACAGAGCCACTTACAGGGAAAGAAATAAAAGGTAAACCTTTCAGCCTTAGCAAATGCTGCTTGGAGCATCCTAACCTTGCAGAATCCCGCACTTGCAGCCCATTAAGCTCTGTCACTCTTCACATCCAGCTTGTCTTTAGTGAGGTGAAAACAAGGCAGGATCCAGGATACCAGCAATTAGGTTTTTTAATACACTGGTGAAGGAGGCATCCCCATGGAAGTATCTTATATGGAGATTCAGAGAGAGGCAGCTGCTGCCTCAGGAACCACCACCAGTCCCATCAGCGCCTGCCTCTGTACCACCGAGCCATGTCCACCACTCTTTCGCCGCAGTGCAGACACAGTACTGTCTCCTGAAACAAGAAGGCTGTAGGACATCCAGTCTGTTCAGAAGTGTTTCCTACTGTCTGCCAGTTCAAACAGGACGGTGCCATCATGCTTGTTAAACCCCGAGAGTAAAAAGCACGTACTCCACATACCCTGGTAGCCACTTACTAACCCTGCACAGCTGAAGAGTCCTGTAGATCCAAACCCCTCCTCCGGCAGGAGCGCGGAAACACACACGGATAGGTAAGGAAAAGCAGAGAAACTGTCACACAAAAATAATTACTTTTTTTAAATTGTATGTAGGGGTGGTTTGTTTCAGGTACAGGAAACATCTAAAAGCAAAACCGATGTTCTCCACATTACTGGTTGTTCTCAGTTACTCAGTGCATTGCTTAAGCTTTTGATTATTTGTACATTTGTACAGACTACAAACTTTGTACATCCAGGCAGTGGTGGCCAGTTCTGATGCGTTACAGGGCAGAGCATCTGGTGTGATGGGAAATCAGTTAGCAGGGATCCTCATGGGGTCACTTGAGTATCTTCAGGAACTGTATGACTGACAGACACACAGCCCACTCAAGGCTTTAACGTAAGCAATTTTGCTAAGGCTATAGGAGGGGACTTGCTCATCTCTGAGCAAATGACCAGAACAAAGCAAACCAGAGTCGAAAGTGAAGTAATGTAAAATTAGTAACTAGTTATGAATCAGGAACTTGATTTATACTTGAGAGCACAAAGAGAAAAAAGAAGATATTACACTATTTAGTATTGATGTTTATTATCTTCTGGGGGGGGGGAGGAAAAAAAGAAGAAGAGAAAAAAAATCCCCTAAAGTCAAAACACGCCGAAACTTTAAACTCCTAAATTTTGAGTTAAAAATTCTACGACATACACATTCTGCAAATGTTACAAGAAAACTCATGGAGTTGTTTTAACTATCATATGAATCATTCTGTTCTAGAGCATGGATGAGAGGAGATACTGGAAGATATGGTTATGTCACACCTGGGGAAACATCTTCATGATGGCTGCAGGTGGAAGTCACGGCCTTCATTTATCCCTAAGAAAAATAACCACAAAGATGAAAAGATGAACACTGCATAAAAATGGACAGATCAGAAGGTTCATACCTACAAGAGGGAGGGTGCTGGGAAGGGAAGGTAGCTACTGCCAGTATAGCATTCAGGAATACATACTCAAAATCCATTTTCTCATCACATTGACAGGCCCAATCCCTAATGAGCACCTGAGTGCCGGCACTTCAATCATGTGGTAGCAAAGTTATGACATATTTCTGGCAGTGCCACCATGCTAGCTAGTTCAGGTCAGAGATGAAAAGTCTAAGACCTCCATCCCCACCACTCAGCCACAGCCAAGCCTCCCTCTGCCCCATGAGTACCAGGCAGGTATTTGGTTTCATGTGGTTGATGACGGGGTGCTGTAGAGGTGTTATGATGCCTTGGTCAGGCTTCTGGAAGGCCGAAATGAGGTTGTGCACTTTCCGAAAGTGCCTCCGGTGGACGCCGGGCGCTGTCTGCGAAGTCAAAGGGTGAGAGGTGAGAGGAGATGCTGGATGCCGAGCTCAGTACCAGGCTCCGGGCACTGGCACAGAAGCCTTGTCCCCAGAAATGCACACACACCCCACAGGGAAGGAGCCAGCCCTTCACTTGGACCCCCTGATGTGCCAACCTAAACTGAGTTGATGAGCCGTACTGCTCTCCTCCTTCCCCTCCCTGCACTAAGTGTGGTTCCAGCTGTGTGGTGATATAAGGTTGGAAAAGGGACAATTTCTTAATCGCTGCAAGAGAAACCCAGAGCCTGCAGTGCTTATTAGACAAATTCCCAAATGATCTTTTGCTGTTTCTGACCCTGATTTATTGCAGCCAGTGATTTAACCTCCAGCCTGGGGTTTATCAGTAAGATACTTCTGGCCTGGAAATAAATAAGACAATCTAGAGAGCTACCTGGCACTTACTTACTGAGTCGCCGTAGTCCTTATAGCACTCAATTCAGGCACGGACAGAGTCTTTTCACAAGCCTTTCTCTGAGCATTCAGTACTGGTTTATGTGTTCATTGAGTATTCTGTCTACTTCTTTGCAACGGCTGCAGCAAAATGCTGCCTATTTATTAAAAGTGGAAGTTTTTCTATCTTCCTACATTAGCATCTTTTCAAACACTGTGAAATAAAACTGCCTGCTTTTAATAAACAAATCCAACGTTTCTGCTAAATCTTTCAGGGCATTCTCATGACAAGTCCTCCCCACCAAAGTCATGGGAGGGCAAGCATAGGTCCTGCTGGCATAGTCCCATCCGAGGGACCCTGGTCTCATCAGCTACTGTGGGCTGAAATCTTGCCTCCCTGGCACCATCTGGAAGCTTTGCACTGGCTGGGATTTTACCAGTGCTGTTTTAATTTCCCTGTTTCCTCCTTGAAAGATGGGCACCACCTGAGCTTGTCGGAGTCTAACCAGCCCCAGGGAAGGAAGCAGAGACAGGAAAGCACCAGCTGCAGCTGGGGCCTGGTTTGGCCCTGGAGGCACATTTCATGGGGACAAGTTGGATTTAGGCTGCTGTTTCTAACAGCTGAGGCCAGCATGTTCTTAGCAACATTTACTTAAGGGTTCCTGTTTGCTTAATGGAAGGCTTGGTATCATAGGTCTATAGGTAGCACCTTTACTTGCAGAGGATGTATTGAGAGGATGTACTGGGAGTCCTAGTCTTTCAGGACACCTACACTGCAAAACACAAAGTTTGCCTAAAATACAGTGAGGAAAAACCCAAGACCCACGCACAGGAAACCAGTGGAGGTCATGGGGAAGGAGATGTAGCAGGCCTATATAACACACCAAACTGCAGATTATCTGAGGTCAAAGCAGGCTGCATCCTTGCTCAGGGAGTTATTATCCTCCACAGGTCCCTGGGGGTCCCAGCATCCTTCCTGAGACACCAGTGCTCACCCTGGCACACAGGGTGCACTACCACCCCCAGCCTGCCCCAAAAACCCTCCTGCTTGGGCAGTGCAAATGTACAGCGTGCTCTCGATGCCTTAGAGGAATGAATGAGCAAATTCTTCCTGGATACCATTCCCAAGAGTAGCACAGATAATTATTTGATCCTCACTCACAGGAGTCACTTTTACTGCCCAGTCTGCTTCTGAGTAACCCCAGGAATTAGTTTTGTCTTCCAGACCACTTCTATTCTAAGAATGTCCAAGGAATTAGGCCTGTCTAGAAGTTATTTAATGTTTGTAATCAATGTTCATTAATGCGCAAACAGAAAGCTAAGTATGAATTAATACACAGAGTACATCCAAAGAACAAGACCTTCATAAAAGAAACACAGGTTAGCATTCTGATTCCATCAACCCAAATAGTTGTCTGTATTGCAAATGGTGTTAACTCTACACTTGAATTATCAGTTTCTTATCAGATGGGTGAAAATACATTTTGTATCAAGTTTAGCCACCCTATATATGTTTTGCACCAATGATGAATTCATCTGGAGGGAAATTGACTTTAAAACACCATAGATTGAAAATAATTTCCTCAAATATTCTGATACTAATGATATATGGGATCATTGGGACCAGATTGTGCTTGTCAAATTATAAAAACACAATATTTTTGCCACTTAAAATGATGCAAAATAATGCACTATTGCATTATGCAACAGCTGAAATGTAACAGGGAATTAATTGATGATTTCAAGACTGTCAGACATGGCACCAAGACATCTTACTGATGGGCACACTCAAGATCGATTACCTTCGATGAAAATCAGACTATGAAGAAACATGAATAATTTTAATATATTTCATTAAATCAATATGAACATCAAACAGGATGTAGAGATTTTCAGAAAAGGAAGGAGAAGTACACACCTCAGCACACCAGGACCCAGTTTCTGTCTTGGACAGTCTGTAGGTATAAACATAACCCTGATGCCTATGGGAAAAAAAATATCAACAGGTATTTAGTACTCATTTCTACTGTCACGTCCACAAGAGGCACACTCTGTTGTGTGGGAGCCAGCTCTTCTGCTAACTGTTCCTCAGAAATAAATTCACCCATAAAGGCACCCGAGATGCGGGTCAGAAGCTACTGGGTTCTTTTTGCATGAGAAGAATTGGTCTGACTCAGATCTAGTTTAACAATTTCCAGTTATTCCAAGTTAAGTGATGCTGTTTTCATTCCTGCCTCAGCATTTCAGTTTATTTTTCACTGACCTCCTTTTACTGACACACACCAGACATACCTTCCCTGGAAAAAAGAGGAGGTGGATTATTGGAATACAGTATTACTGAATTGTGATTCATTTAAATGCAGATGTTCCCAGGAGCAATAGCATGAGTGTAATTTATTTGGAAAGCTAGACCCACAAAAGCAAGCAAAATTACTCTTTGCCTTGCCCGTACATTTCTAATCCTCAAAAACTGATAAAGGAGACTTACAGGAGTGTGGAGTCTTCCTTCTTTCTAAATCTGAGTCTTTCAAGAATAACACAAGACATACTTGTGTCCAGACTCAGTCTTGCTTCTCTTATGAACCCAACACAGTGAATGATTTACATGGTAGATTATTATATTGATATCCAAAAATATACCTCAAAAGCAGAGACAATACTAATTCCATGGTTACAACATTAGTTTAGATGGTATCAGATAAGAAAGTTTGTATTTCATATTACATAGATTTACATAAATACACAGCAGGTTTTTAGGGACCATTGTGTATTTCAGTGTCAATCCTTGTTCTTAAGAAAGCAGAAAAATACTGTATTTCTTTCCAATTATGCACAGTATTATAGTAGTTACTACAGAATAGCAGAAACCATCAATGACAGAGGCAGCATATGATCGCAATTACTTACGCTCTGTGTCATGGTTCCTGGATAAATTCTTGTTGAAAAGTCATTACAGCAACCTTTGCAAAGCAATGTCTGATATAATTTACCCAAGCAGGAAGTTGTTAACAGTTGTCATACTGCTACAACCCCACAACAAAACTGCCTGGTGTGATTTGTGAGCTCTCCCCCGACTCTCAACTCCCACTGTGATTAAATACAGAGGAGGAAGACACAGAGTTGTTCTCTCCTGTCAGAGCTGCTGCAAGGATGAACTCTCTAAGACACTGCCCTCCTCCTCGTGTATGGAAATACGCCTGACACTGACCCGTAAGCCCACAACTTCGTCCAACTCTTCATGCTAACAAAGGGAGTGTTGTCCCCAGAGAGACGACATTCCACCTGGCACCAGCTGGACATGAAAAGTGGCTAGCCATGCTCACTGCATGGAAACCTATGGAGGAAAACAGCCTCTGCAAACCCATTTCTTCCCTCAGCAACTCAATTGCTGCAGTCTGTCAGTTCAGGTGTGAACAACCTACTGTGGCTGCCAGAGCAGGGAAGGACATGGAAGGACAATGCTGTTGTCCTGTCGATACCATGGCACAACAGTCACTGGTGTTTGAGGCCACAGCTCAAGCCCAGTTGCTTAAAAGCTCATCCCTCTAAGCTACTAGATATGTTCATGTTCAGGGAATCCAATGTCTCCATTAGGGCCCTTAGACAAGCTCATACCATCACTTCCTTTCTTAAAACCTCCGAGAGCTGTGCCTACATTGTCAGCTTTTCATGAGTAGCTGATGTTCACATTAATCTTTTCTTCACAAGGGGCTTTCCTGCACCTATGTATGTAGCATGACAGCCAATGTATGGTTGCTGAAAGTAACATTGTACAGCCCGTAGTGTCCCCTCTCTTTGAGGTGGGTATTTGACCATCCCCACAGTGAATCTTTTTCAAGCCTCAAACCCAACAGAATCACTCTGTAAAAATCTAAAACTCACTCTCTTGCCCCCTGTTTTTAATAACACACTGTGCATTTTACCCATGCTTGTTCTTGGTTGTCCCAAAGCATTCCAACTGCTTCAGTCTCTTTAAAATCTGATTTTTCCGCAAATGGCTCAGTTGTCTGGAAAACTACTACCATCTGTTGTTTCTTTCATCGTTTTGTCTACCTAAGAGATTGCATGGCTTGAAGTGGTTGAGGGACCGTGGTGCTGCCCTGGCTCTGAAATGCCTGATGGCTTTCAGCACTTTGCCAGAAGGGTTTACTAAGCTAGACAAATTGAAAAATAGAGGTGAGATAGGGTAATAGTGAGGGCCAAGGCAGGGTGAGGTATAATATAGGCACCTATCTCCTGCATTATCTTAAAAAGCCCACTGTACAATATTTCAACCAAGCCCAGAGAAAGCAGAAAGGACAGCTCAGATTAAAAACCCATGAGATAGATAGATACAGAAAAAGAAACAAGAATATGGGAACATGGATGCAGTGTGGAGAACAGGAGGAATATGACATTACAAGCATAGCCTTGTGAGGGACAAGTGAGAGCTCACCACTCACCTGTCAAATGTACAGTTCATTTCCAGAGGGGGAAAGACTGAAAGACTTGAAGAGGTTCACTGCTGCAAAACACGACATTGTCTTCAGTTCTTGGCTCTGAAGACATCAGTAAACACAGTCACCATGTAGCTGGGAGATGGCCCAGGACCACCACACCTGCTTCTTCAAAGGACATGCACAAAGGGAGGAGGATGCATTTTGCTAAGAAGCTGAACAGCTAGATCTTCCCAACTAAATATTTTCCACTGGGATCCTTGTTTCCACTAAACGAATTACAGCTCTTCTGATAAGTACTCACCCACTGAATATGATCTTATCAAAACTTTCTGTTAAGCAGCAGGAACTTACTTCATTACCACTTCAAAGTGCTTTTTACCTTCCAAGTGCAAGTGACAGGATTTTGATGAGCCACGTTCTCCCGTGAGAAAGGTTTTTATGATTTAAACTACTCAACATGAGATCAGTGTGGACTGAAGGAAGATCAAGGTGTTTTTCTTAAAACAAAAATTAAGTACAGAACTTAAAATTGAGATCATACAGAACATTTCCTCCCAAAGAGCAAAACATGTATCACCAGGCAAAAGAAGGTGGAAAAGTGCATTTACTGGACTTTAGGTCTCAGGAGATGAGAAATTCCTCAGCCACCATGAGGGGACAGCTCAGATTTCTACATTTTACTAAATTCAGGGCAGAAAAAAGGCTCCTAGTGTGACACAATGCTCCTATATGTGCCGTGGCCATAAAGCTGAAGTCAAAACACAAACACTTTGTGGCCTAGGCATGCTGCTAGTCTCTTGGAGCATCCCACACAGCTTACGCTTTGAAGCCATTACCTGTTCAGATGTGGGACAAGTCCATCTCTCAGTGTCCTGAACTCCTCTCTCTGGTGGACAAAATCAACAGTAGATGGACACATGTCACTGAGAGAAGGATTTCAGACAGCACTCTTACAGTGACACCGGCATACCAGCATATCTTCTAGAAGGACTAGCTCTTGACACCCAGGCAAAGATCTGACGAAGGGCTCCCCCATCCCTTCATCAGGGCAAGGACAGCCACAAACCTCACTCATTGCAGAGCTCCTCTTTGATGCCAGTGAAACTCAAGGTACAGGAGCAATTGTGAATTAACAGCCTGATGAATGAGGCCCTATAAATTTTTGATCAAAGGCAAAAAATACCAAAATGGTGATGAGAGAAAGCAGCAAACAGCCATTGCTGTAAGGAAAATATTGGACAGCACTTACACTTTGGTCATCACTGATGATATTTTTATGTCATCCCACTTATTTTTTCATCTCCATAACAAAGGATGTGTTACACCAGCTGGGAATTGCACTAGCACTGTCTCTGGTGCAATGCTGGGAAAACTTTGTTAAAGGGGAATCTAGAAAAAGTTGCTGTTACAGGAAACAGTCCACTTTATAATATAGGCTTTTTTCTTTATAGCTATATAATTCCTCCCGAAGAGCTACAAAGTCATCATTCACAGATGACATACTGAGACAGCATCTGTCTACCTGTCCTCTCCACTCTTCCTCTTCAGCTGTGATCAGACTTGTTAAAGCTCCATTTGCTTTAACAGGTGAATAATTACAATCTTCTGCACCATTGAAATAGCCAGAGGATATTAGCAGCATGCTGCAGATTAAAATTAACCGTGACATTTCAGCTGCATAGTATATTTTAAAATAATTTCCAAATGTTTTGTATCTCAGTTGGGAAATTTTATTAAACTAATTTGTATTCATTCCTGGGTTCAAAATGGAACAAATATAAAGGGAGAAAGACAGAGAGACTGGAGAAAGCCATGTCAGCAATAAATTACATCAATTTCTTCCTCTTTACATAGCTTTCTCTTCTGATGTCTTTGCACAGCTTTTCTTACCTGGTATATTTGCATCCTGACCTTACCTTGGAATTTCACTTTACAATATTGCTTAAGAACCAGACAGTGGTGTGGCCTACAAAAAGTGATCCTGAGCATTATATTCTGCCCACTCCCAGTCTCTTAAAACTTTGCCACATTTCAGTCTTTCAGGTTGAAATTTTGCTTCTTAGGTGTTTGCCTCAACCTTATTTAGGGATAGAGAATGCAGAAGTGCCAGAAAACGGGATATGTTAGGCAAAACAATGCTTTTCCCGTGCATTTATATTTGGCATCTTGGAAAGGAAGATTGGGACTGGGTGGGGTGGATGTGGAAGGGAAAAAAAGAGGACCTGCGTCTATGCAAGCTGGGCAAGGAAACAGCAGTGAAAATTGAACCCTAGAAGAGAGTAAGACTACATGAATAAGGAAAGGGATATACAAAGGTGAAGCATGAGGGGGCTTGAACTGAGAGCAGCACAAAATGCTGGATGGGTGGAAAATCTAGGAATAGAAGATGGGTGGTTTGGAAACAGAAGATGTATGAAACAAGGAAACAGCCATGCAATGCAAAGCAATACAAGCAAAGCCAGCAGGTTGTACAGAATAACACTGAGTAGTCTCAAAATCCATACCTGTTACCCTCACATTGGGAACCAAAGAGATACTGCAGA